TTTCTAAAGAATGCTTTCAGCACCTTGTTGAATCAATGCCACGTAGAATTAAGGCAGTTCTGAAGGCGAAAGGGGGTCAAACACTGTATTAGTATGGTGTTCCTAATAATCCTTTAGGTGAGTGTATAGTAAGCAAAATGCACCACAAAATCACAAAAACTGGCCTGAAAATTATGTACTCATGTCAAAATCGCAGACACATTCATTATATGAATAACCACAACAATCCTTGATCTTCACACTGCTCTAAAAAAATGAACACACAACTGTCATGTGTGATTGTCCCTGATGCAAGACAAGACATAGGAGTCACCATATGTTCATTCGTAACATCTTTTTCCTTGTGGAAAAAATGAGCTATATTACTTTCACCACACCATGGAGTTTGAAAGAAAAACAGACCTGTACATGCAATGAGTGCATTAAATGACCACAATAGATACACAAAGAAAGATTCACATAAAGCAACTTTACAGTAAAACATTAAAACAAACAGCTGGGGAAACAACAACTGAGTAATATATTAAATGAATGAAAGTGAACTAAATGTCATCCCGCTCATTTCGGCTTGGCCAATGAAGTTCATCCACATCATATATGTCACGGACACGGTTCAGGCGAGCAGGAAAGCAGACAAGCTGAGCCGGACTGACAGGCAAACTGGGTTTATTGCGCACAGACGGACAGACAGGGACAGGGCCAGGCACTACGTCAGACAACATTAATGACAAATCTGCACAGACTAAATCAGACGCGGACTAAATACACAAGACAGGCTGAACTGAACAAGCAACAGGTGATCCCAATCAGGAAGTAACACGAGGTAATGAGGGGGGCGTGGCACACATGAGGATCGGACAAGCTGGACGTAACAATATACTACATTGTCTCTTGCCAAACAGCGTTGTAAAAACCTCGCGGAATGCCCGATCCAGGCCTGGCAATCCTCGACCCTAATGTCTTCACATGCATCCTCCATTGCCTGGAGTTGGGATACCCGCTGATGTCTCCTATCATACACCTTCCAATGTCATGAGGAAAATCATTCCTCAGTGGGGTTCACAAAAGGAGAACAGGGGGAAGGTGTAAATCAGAGAATGCTGGGATGTTCTGGACCCAGGCTTGAATGTCTGCTGCCCAGTGAAAATTTACATTGAGCCACACAAGTATGTAGTGTGTCAGTTGCTGGAAATGTGTATCTCTGACTTGTTGAGGGATGATAATTCCATGCAAACTGTCCGGAAAAACTGAGGAGTTGGGCAGTTGATGCCAGCCTCATCCAAATAAATGAATAACTTTTATATTTTATACACACACACACACACTTCCCTGTTTATCATTAATGAAGGGCTCCTTCCTTGCTTTATGGTACTTCAGTCCTGCGTAAGGAGCCTGATACAGACTATCCTAGCAGTGCATCTCAGACCTGCACTTAATGTTTCCCTCAACACAATAATTTATGATCCAATTTCTTTATTACCTCTTGGTTACCTTGTTAGGCTTCCTTATCCATGAAAAGATTGGTTTTAATATTTTTGGTGTTGTTACGATCGGCGAACAGAACAGGAGCGGACCGCAATATGCGGAGCAACAAGTCTTTAATATAAGTGCCGAGATCGCCAAAGCCAGAGGGGATAGTCCAAGAGAATTGTCGGGATGGTCGCGAGAGTCCAATAGCCGGGAGGATCAGTCCTACAGATGGTGACGAGACGGGGTGACAACAAGCCGGATGGATCCAGGAGGGTAGACCAGAAGATCGGGGCAAGGCAGGCGGGCGAGACGAGGGAGGCAGGGCAGACGTGAAGGGCAGGACAGGCGAGACGAGCAGGGCAGGCAAGACAAGCGGGGAAAGCACAAGACAAATAAATGCTCGGTATGGCTCCAGAACATGGCAACAATACTTCGCACTACTGCGAAATTCCCTCCACCTTAAATAGTGGAGCGATCAATGCTTACGTGTTCCTTTCATCCTGGTCCCGCCCTCTGGGCGTGACAGGAGTGGCTTTCTGGACATTTCTTTTGACAAGATATCTCTTTTTCAATAAAAAATAATGGTAAAATAAAGCTCAAGAGCATTATATAAATAAGCTGAATTAGTCTTATCTTGCCTTACATGTCCGGGCATGCCTTGCCTTGATTTTGTTTTAATTTACTTT